CAGGACACGTCTTCGCGCCGACACACTCTCCTTAACGGTTCCAACACTTCCACAACTCATCTCCATTTCGGTCACGATTTTATGGCAAAAATATTATCATTTATTCATTAATTCATTAAAAAGTATTTATTTAGTGTCCAAACAATTCATTGCATTTCATTTGAAGGCATTATTTCTTTACATAAATTACGTCCGAAATTATGAATGCAATTATTTTTGCGAAGTTTTTTGCATTTGTTTCAAAACTTTTGAATACTTTTAGTTTTTACTGTTAAACAAAATAGGGTTCAAAAAGTGAGTAAATGTGAAACATTTAACACTTGGATTGATTGGCCAAACCTTTGACCCATGAATAGTGCAGTAGTTGTGAGTCATTTCAATGCAATGAGTCATTGAGTGTTGGGTTTCAAACTTGACGACAGACTGATTGTGTGTTGCGTTCAATACGTTTGCCATTCATTCAAACCATTTCCACATTTAACCCAAAAGTGATCCAAAAGAGACCCAAAAGAGACCCAAAAGAGACCCAAAAGTGACCCAAAATGCCAAACGATAGATACTATGCCGTAAGGGATGGCCGACAAACCGGTGTCTATAACTCGTGGTAAATATATAACCTTTTAGTGCACTTTTACATACACTACAGTGTAGTGACTACACATTCAATACAGTCTATTGTCTCACTCTCTGACCCCCTCTGACCCCCTCTCACCCCTCCGACCCCTAACACTGACCCGATATTGAGTACCCGCTGACTAACCATTGACCACAACTCCAACCGTAGGAACGACTGCAAGGAACAAACCAATGGCTACTCCGGCGCTCAGTTCAAGAGTTTCAATACACCTCAAGAGGCCATGAATTACATGAGCGGCGGTAGTGGTGGTGGAGGCGGAGGTCACCGATCGCACGGCACGGACTACGCATCGGCTTCGACTGGATCTGCCAATTTGTATGGGAGCCGCGACGGGAGTGGCCGGTCATCAGTGGCCTCCAGCGGGTACTCTGAGCCCCGATTTGAGATCCATACAGACGGCGCGTGTCCGCGAAATGGGATGCCGGGCGCCAACGCTGGCATTGGTGTCCACTTTCCCAGTCGTCCGGATCGCGATCTGTCCGAACCCCTGACCGGCCGTCAGACCAACAATCGGGCGGAGATACAGGCGCCGCGTCGTGGACTGGAAGTGGCCCGAGAGTTGGGTCACACCCGCGTGGAGATCAAGACTGACAGTCAGTATGTGTGGGATATCGCGAACGGAGCCAAAGAGGCGCACAAAAACAAACAGGACTTTCAGGATCTGGCGGACGCCTCACAAGGAATGAACGTCAAATGGGTTAGTAATTACAGATACCCGATGGGCGTCATCTCCGGATGTGTCCCTGTTTTAAGATGTTTGCATTGATATGTGGTTTTGTTTGTCATATTTGTAGACCAAAGTGCCCGCGCATTCAGGTGTGACCGGCAATGAAAGGGCCGATAAGTTGGCTAAAAGGGGCGCCAATCAGAAGTGATGCCTATAACTGATCAAATGATTGCCACTATATGTGAATCACTTCTCTGATTACTAATGCTTTCTAATGACATTTAAAATTCACATCTTTGATATAATTTATAATATTTTGTTTTATTTGATTCAATCAATTGCTATAATCTTTCTAACAGTTAAAATATTTCTCAATTGTTTTTCCATAAAATTCAATGCTTTAGTTATTAATCGCCGATTTAGACTGAATTGACGGCAATTCAGTTCAATAAATAAAAAGACCATTTGATTTCAAATTTAACTTTTAATTATAAAAGAAATGTAAATTCATATCATATAATGATATAACAAATAAATAAATCATTTTTTGCTCTTCTTATATAAGCCCTGTTGTTGAGCCAAATCTCCCATCAATTGTTTGACTTTAGTCTTGCGTCTGTCGTCGTTGGCAGTGATCTCTTCAATCCAAGTATTCCTCATGAAAGTGGAGTCTTTGCGGAGCTCTCTTTGGGCGCCTTTCAGTTCTCTATTGTATTTCTTCGTCAATCGTTTCTTCGAATTCTTCTTCTCATGACTGGAGTTGTCGTCAAACTTGGGCTCAAACATAGGCAGCATAAAGGGTTTCCGGCGCCTCTCACTCAACACCACTCGAGGCGCCGATGCGTTCACTTTAGACAATACGCCATTCATTAACTCTTTTAGCTCTTCATTTAAATACTCATTTTGTGATAATTGCAGACATAATGTCTTGAGTGGAGCTATTAATTCATTAAATGATGGCATCTTTGCGTACGAGTCCAACATTTCATCTAATCGTTTAAGTGTTTCACTTAAAAGCATACATTTTATGTCAATCTCTTTAAGAGTAGTGAATGTTTCGTCAAAAATATATTTGATGTTAAAGTTTGAACACTCATTGGAAGTGATCTCTTCATTCACCGCAAGACTGCAGTTGTCTTTATTCTTGTGTCCAACGGTTGGTTCAATTGCTTCCTTTTGTTGAGACAAACGAAGAACTTTCATAAGAGAGTCAACAACTTGTGGAATATATACTCCATTCGCTGTCATTAATAATAATCTTATGATAACCAAAACGATTGCAATTTCATTGAATGAATTGATTTTGAGTTTTGACAACATTTGAATCAATATAAGTCTTACAATAAGCTTTGTTTGTTTGAAATGACATCCGATCCAAATGATGGCCAAATTATGACAATTGAAATCACTATCGATTTCAGTAATTGTTTGGTATTTTTCAAACAATAAACTCAAAGATTCTTCAGATATTTGTGACAATAAATGATTGCCCGAACCGTTAATCAGCGCTAATATTTGTGTCCAATTATTGTTCACTTCAATCGCTTCTATAAATTGTTTAAATAATGTTTCGGTACTCTTGTGAATGGTTGGTGTGCTCTCGTTGTTTGTCTCAATTGATTTGCTCATTGTTTGGCTAACACTTTGGACACGACTTATGGGTTTATTTGTGTCAAACATGAGTTCTTTGACTAAAATATCGTAGTCTTGGTTCGTGTTTTGCGGCAATTCATGTCNCATTTACTCACTTTTTGAACCCTATTTTGTTTAACAGTAAAAACTAAAAGTATTCAAAAGTTTTGAAACAAATGCAAAAAACTTCGCAAAAATAATTGCATTCATAATTTCGGACGTAATTTATGTAAAGAAATAATGCCTTCAAATGAAATGCAATGAATTGTTTGGACACTAAATAAATACTTTTTAATGAATTAATGAATAAATGATAATATTTTTGCCATAAAATCGTGACCGAAATGGAGATGAGTTGTGGAAGTGTTGGAACCGTTAAGGAGAGTGTGTCGGCGCGAAGACGTGTCCTGTATTCAGCAGTTTGTGCCGTCTGTCACGAGAATGAGTTCTCTTTGGCAGACAAGCCATCGTTGGACACATTGTTGCAAATGCTTCAGAGCCTCCTCTTCGAGATCGGCAGAAGTAGTCAAGCCTTCTGTGAATTGAGTGGTCGGACGGAACCACTGGTCGGCGATGTAGTGATGGCTCTCATCGAAATGGGTCTCAACTGTGACTCGTTGTCGTCGTACGCCATGCGAGCCAATCGGGTGACCATCGCTTCGCCGCAACTGATGGCCAAACAGTCGACGCCTCGTATACTACAGGCGGGAGAGAAGAAACAGTTGACGCCTTATATCGCGGACTATTTGCCGGCCTTTCCTGACCCGCACTCTTACATCCGGACGCCGACACATAAACAGCCCGTCACTGAATACGAGGCCATTCGCGAGAAGAGCGCCTCTCAGAAGAGGGACGTCGAGAGAGCGTTAACCAAATTCATGGCCAAAACGTGCGGCCATTCTCTTACTCATCGACTCTTTCCCGACGAACAGATCTCTCATTTGTTTCCATTAATTATACTTAAAGTGGAGTCCAATCCATATCTGAACGCATTGTTACCCAAAGACCAAGTGTTTGACGACAATGAGGAGCAACTGATCCATAAGAAGGAAACCGATAAAAAGGCTAAACCTGTGGTGAATGTAAGCGACAAAACAGATGCTCTCAATGCAGACAATGCCACTGAAGAGCAGACAAATGAGACCAATAAGTTAACGCTTAATACGTCGGCCACTGATAATGATGTGTTAGACAACCCATACTTGAGACCAATTAAAATGTCTTCACGAAAAAGGAGTCGAAAGCAATTTGAGACATAAATCGGAAAATAATATCAACTCTTAAAGTAATTGTCAAACAAATTGTGTCTTATATTGCGCTCAAACTAACAAATAATATATGAAAATCTGGTTTTTATTTCTGCTCTAATGAGCGAACAAATAGCGAAACCTTTATATTTAAAACAACAATAATTACTATTCAAACCTTTAGGTCTTATTTTAAGGTTTAAACAGTTAATTATCACTCATTTCTTGCTATACAATATATACATACAATGAGTGTTACTTTTCTATTATTGTTTATGCAATTGTATAAAAACATTGTAATATTACCTGAAAAGCCAATAAAATCATTACATAACTTGTTTAATGTGACGATACTATTGAGTACGAGTTGTTTTGCATGATTGCTATTAATGTAGCGATCGGTTGTCAAATACACCGCAAAGACCCGCCGCTCCACTTATGTCGTCCTTTATATCAAATCTAATAGCAATGCAATCAATGTTTTATGTTTAGTCCAATTATTGATGTCATAAATACCATATTTTTGGTATTTTCTACACTTATTGCCACAATTTGCACAAATAATTAATTAATGGATAAATACTTTTGTGCAATAAGTTTCAGATTTAAAACATAAATCATTAAAAATGGTATTTTCGATGTTATCATTAACTTGATTGGCATATACTATGTACTGATCCGGATGTGCGCTAATGGCTGGTCAGTGATCGGGTGATGGCTATCGATTATCTCCGGAAATATTACATCAATTATCACACATTTGTTTAATAGTTTTAGCCATTCATTTACTATTATACGGGTTTAAATAGGAGTCTGAATATACACTACAAGTAATTATAAGTATGAATACATTTCATGGATTCTATTGATTGATGGCTAGTAATTAGTAAAGAATTTGAATCATTATGGTTTTAATGGTTATTAAAGGCTACAAATATTTTGTCTGAATAAATAGTGTATTGAAACCCAATTTGGTGTCAAACCAAAGAGAGGGCAATTCAGGTGCCGACCAGTTATTGATTTGAATTTTCTAATAGAAATCAATTAGTTTTACATGGAATCAAAACTGAAAGCTTATAGAGTCTATAATATAGACTGTTTAAAAATTTATTTGAAAACTTGTAATTATATTTGAGTAAAATTTCTCTAAATTTTTATTAATATTTAAATGATATCCAGACTATATTTAGTGCCTAATAATTGATTAATAGATTTGATAAATAGGCTAATTGTTTGGTTGAAATTCAATTTGCAATCATTTTGAATATGATTAGACTTTTGACTTAAATAACTAGATATGACACGAGTTTTCAAAATCAACTTTTAATATGGGATTGATTTACATAAAAATGCAATCGGGAGGGGATTGGAGGGGAAAGGAGGGCTTCATTGAGTGATTTTTATCAATAATATGACATTAGAGTCAGATATTCCGAAACCTTTGGCGAAATGTTATACACAGTATTGAAACATATGAAAGAATGGGTCACTTCCTATAGACATCTCAAATAACTTTTCAATTTTAATTGACGTAAAATTGAGTGACTTTTCTCTAAAATTATGCCCAATTTATATCTCAATGCATAATAGCGTTCACTAAAATAGTATTCAATCAATACATTCATTTTGGTTCTGGATTTGAAAGTTTTTGACAATAATATAAAAGATTAGCTTAATTTGTATGAAAAATTCAAATGAATAATTAATTTAATTTTTATTTTTCGTAAAACAAAATACTAAAAGAAATAATATTAAATCGGGAGAAAAAATCGTTATCTGAGTTCTGAGTTTTGTCTTATATTTTTTGAATGATATCAAAAATTTCTTTTTATAATTTGAGCGCAAATTAACATAATATATGGCTTTTGGGCATAAGAAGAGTGCACACAATTACGGAAAATCCTGTTTTATATATAATATTATTTTTTGTTCAGTTTTTGTTCATATGGTTTATCACATTTGAAGTGCTTCTGGCGCTTATAAGTGTATATATAAAAAATAAAGTTTATATTATTTGCAGGATTATTGTATATTTAATTAAATGTCATATAATTAAAACGAGACTCACATTTGTTTTAAAGGTGTTCTCGAAATAAGAAAATGTTTTTATATTTTCTTTCTTTAATACGAATCAACAGTAATTATAAAAATACGTTTAACTCGTTGTAAATACTTATGATACAAGAATTTATAGGAATTAAAATGATATAACATCTCCAGATCAGTCCAATTGATAAAATCCCATTCTCTGTGCTATTATCAAAGCTCTGGCATAACTTATTACAGTAGGGATGCAATTATCCAATGGTCTCACACAACAAACATATGG